ATAATAAAACTATTTCTTACCATAAGACATGTTTGAAAAAATGATTTTTTTCATCAAAATTCTGTTTTGATGTGACATATTTTTTAAAATAAATTTAAACCATTATCATATATCAAACAAGATATTAAATTAATCTTTCATATTTTGAGATATTTTCTTTAAGAATTTTGTTACCATCTAGCTGAATTTATTTTTATTTTAAAAAAATCAATAATTGTTTAATTCATGTGTTATAGATGAAAATTTTATTTAGTTAAATAGAAATTCTACAATTCGTCAATAAATTTTTTCAAATAAAATCAATACTCTTTTTCTTGATAAACTTATTAATTATAAATTTATTCGATAAGAATGTAAATATTGAAATTATAATTAGTTTATCTCTTAGTTGTCGTTCTGTATAAATAATTGAATTTTTTTTGTTAAATTTTCGAAGAATGAATATAATAAAAAGTAATTCCGATAAAATCTAATACAACCAAGTAAATCTTAAATGATTTTAATTAGAATTAAATAAGTTTTATTTCTTTTCCTTAATATTATTCAAACTCTTTATTATTACATAAAAATTGTTTAATTAATTTAGTTATCTTTTATTTTTAAACAATAATATTAAATCATCATCATTGATATAAAGAAATAATCATTAAAAATAATATTATTTTAATTTCTTCATAGAAATATTTCGGTTTAATAATAACTCAAGAAATTTTATATAAAACTTTTATCTCTACAATAAATAGTTTATCCAAAAAAATATTATTATACTTTCAAAAAAAAGGCATTTTTTCTAGTTCGATGTATTGTTGACAAATTAATCTGATAAAATATTTGAAAAAATTGATTTCATTGTAAAATATAATTATTTATACCAATTTCAGCTAATTTCAATCTCATAAAAAATATTTTTTGAGATTTATTAAAACATTTCAAATTCTTTATTCAATTATTTTCAAGAAATTCTAATTGGAAATGTCAATATGATTGATTAAGAAGTATTAACAACAAAATTCACATCTTCAAATTGATTTTCCTTTACAGATATCAAAAAATATAAAAGAAAATGACGAAAATATTTGTATTTGATCAAAATCTTTGAAATGAAAAACCAAATTTGAATTTTGTATCATTTCGAAATTCTTTTTCTTCATTTTCGTCTAAATGAAGATTTTCATTGATTTTATTTCGAGATATCATTTTTTCAATTCCATTTTTATAAAAAGAATATCAAATCAAAAAAACAAAAATCTTTCGAACATTTATTTTGTTCAATAATATTCATTTTACTTCGATTTTTATTATCAGTTTTTCATAAGATATTTCTTTTCTTTTTAACTTTGAACTTTACTCAAATTTTACAAATCGAAAAAACAATAAATATTCGAACGGAATTAAATCAAACATAAAATCTTCTTTTCGAAGAGGTTTTATTTCAACTCAACTCAAATTAAAAAGTTCTTTTCTTTTCTTTTCTCCTATGAAATTCAACAAAATTAATAAAAGATAAAGAATTTAACGTTTATTCGATTTTTTTAAACAAAACTATCAAATTTAACTCAGTTTTCATGAAAAAAATCGAAAACATTTTTCTCCTTTCTTTTATTACCAAAGAATTTCCTTCTCGTCAAAAATTTATGCGATTCTTTTATTGATTTTAAACAATAAAACTTGACTTCTTTCTTTTATTTTTATTTCTAGACTTTTATTCAAAAAAAATTCGTTCACAATGTTATTTCAAATTTTTGAATCCGATGATTTTTCGAATCAGCAACATAAAGATTTCCTTCATCATCAAAAGATAAATCACTGGGATTATTCAATTGATTTGATTGATTTCCTTGGCCATTCCCACCAACAACAATTTCACCTTCTTTTTTTTCCTTCGCACCAACGCATTACTCGATGATTCTCATAATCTGCCACATAGATCTGACCAAAATTATCAACAATGACTCCTAGTGGATCAGACAATTGATTAAGATTCCCTCCTTCACCATTTCCTCCAGCCACAATTGTTCCTTCTTTTGCATCTTTTTTCCATTTCATCACACGATGATTGGACGAGTCTGATACATAAACAGATTGATCATCATCAACAAAGATAAAACCTGGACTACTGAGTTGATTAAGTTTATTTCCTTTTCCATTTCCACCTGCCACTATAATTCCTTCATTGTTATATTCTCCCATTTTCCATCGTCTCACTTCATTTTTCATCTCATCGGAAACATAAAGAAATCTATTGTTGTCCATTGTCAAGCCCAAACAGTCAATATTCTTAATGAGAATTTGTTGCTTTTGATTCACCCATCGAATCACTCGTCTGTTCTCAAGATCAGCAATGATGGTCGAATGATTTTGTTGATCAATAATCACATCTATTGGATAAAACAATTGATCCGTTCGATTTTCATATTCATTTCCATCTGCAATGATTTGTCCTTCTGTTGCATTATATTTCCATTCAACAATACGATTATTAAAACGATCAGCAATAAAAATGTTCTTCTTTTTATCAATAAAGATTCCAACAGGGTAATTGAGTTGATTTAATTCGTGTCCTTGTCCGTTTCCACCAACTACAGTGATGGCATTTTGTTTCCATTTGTTGAATTTTGGCTCTAGCAAATAATGAAAACAAAAGATTTCGATGAAAGGAGAAAGCAGAAAAGGAATAGATTAAATTTGAATGAAATGATCATAAACATGTTTAATGAAAAATCAAACAAAATATGATTTTTTTTGTTCAACTTTGAATAAAATCTGGTAAAATGAAATGAAGAAAGTATTTGAAAGTTGTATTTTTTACAATGAAGATTTTGAAGAAAATGCATTTTTATTGAAAGATAGTTAATTTCTGAAGCAAATTGAGAAAAATCTAATTTGAAAAGAAGAGGAATGAAAAGAAGAATGATAAAAAGATTCTGCTGATTTATTTTTTGTTAAATAAAAATTTGAAAACAAGAAATATTTTAGAAAATTTGCCAAAAAAAGAAGTGATTCGAATTGAGGGTATGCGTATGGGTGTGATTATCTATACTCTCAATTCACACCTACACCCACATCCGTTTATAGTAAAGTGAACAAAAAATGAATACATACGTGTTTCACAGCGAGGTCCAGTCCACAATGATGTACACTAAACAAACATGGAATGAATGAGTTACCTCTGAAATACAGATGAATTCTTGACTTACGGTACAAGAGTTTGGTCCAGTGCATTTTCCACCATTCAAACATTTTGGAAAACAAATGGCTAAAAGATGAAATAGAAATCAAACCATCATCATTTCTTCTAATCATAAAATGGAAACTGAGATCGATTTCAGCATCAGTGATCTTGAAGAGAATGGAGCTGTGAATAGACTAACCGATTAAAAGTGAATCTGTAGAGATATGTTCTCACAAAGCGTTTTCTCGTGAGGCACATACAAATTGCCTGAACTATGAAGTATATGTTTGTGGTGCAATGGAGAAGCTATGGCAAATTTTCCACTTGGTACTATGACATTTAATAGACTTATGCGCGAAACAAGCGTCAGATATAAATCATTAGGTAGTATATTTTTCGTTGTCCATTAATCTCATTCAATATATTATTTCAATTTTTTTCTCTAAAAAGCGTGCCAGGATAGAGAGCACCAGGACACCCTTGTTTTACATTCGTTATTTTTGAAGCGGAGGAAAGGTAGTATAATTTTAATTATTAAAGAAAATTTGTAAAAATCAGCGCCAATTCACTTAAGTTTTCCTACATATAGTAATCAAAATCATTTATGGATCAAACAACGACGATAGAGAAATACTACAAATTAAAATACGACGAGATTAAAGATAACGGAGAAAATGAAAGGGAAGATCTGAATAGTGGTCAGGGTTTTCGATTCAGAATGAGAATGAAACAGGCGCAAAGAATGGGATCTACCTATTTATTTGCAATCTGTCTAATAATAGAGGTGTGTGTACTGTTACTCAAAAGCATTGGGTGTATTGCTGTAGAATTAAGCATCTCATTGCCAAAGTAAAAAGGTTAAAATATGATGAGTGTGGGTGAGTAAGTAGCTCTTGAAATCTCTACTACAGGAACACAAAAAAAGCTCATTGTGCTCATTCTTTGTCTAAATTGATTCTCTCAGTGTTGGATATCTGTCTATGCATCTCCTAGAACTACACATTCTTCCACATTATCACACTCAAAGTACCACAATGTTTCTACTAATAACTCAAATCTTTATGATACATACTATAGACATCGGAATATACTACTGTTTACAAAATACTACGTACCATCACAAACTGCTTTATCATCAACCCAAACAGCATCACATTTTTCGCCTTTAGGCCAACTCATGATGCCCGGACCTGATTTCATACCATTCAACCAACCACCAGTATATATCCTGCGATCCGCATACAGCATTGCACCTGATCCATGCATCTTGCTGTCAAACCAATGACCATCATAAATATTACGATTCGGCCAGATCATTATGCCACGACCATTTTTTTTATCATTCATCCAACCACCTGTATATATACTACCGTCAGCATATTGTAATGTGCCTGACCCATCTCTCTTATCATCGGCCCAATTGCCACTGTATTTCTCACCGTCAAAAGAAGTTAGTATGCCCAAACCCGATCTTTTGTCATCGATCCAATCACCGGTGTATATGCTGCCATCAGAGTAGTTATGTGTCCCAGTACCATTTCGCTTTCCGTCAGCCCAGTTCCCTTCATATCTGCCACCATCGGAGAAAACGAAGACGCCTGAAATCTGCCGTGTACTATCAATCCAGGAGGCTGTGTATGTTCGATTGTCGATGTAGTTTTGCCCATCGTGGTCAGTGAACACAACTGCAGACGAATTGTTATCATCGCTGACACCGTCTCGGTAGACTGCTGTGTCGTTGACGAACTGATATGTGTCGGAACTGTTAGTTTCCTCTTAAACAAATCAAAATCGTAGATAGAAAATGGTGAGCAAGAACTTTATATTTTATATTCTGAAGCTTATGAATGAAGTACAGACTCAATAAAAAAAAGAAAATATCTCCAGTGGAAAAAAGTTCTCAGACATACATAAAAATCTATCAATAGAATTCAACGGTCTCTACATCCTCCTTCAGCTGTAATACATTCACATATTCTCTATGATATCGAAAATACAAGGTTTTCACATAATTCAGGTCTAATTGTCAACTACTCCGCTGATATTTCAATTTCTTATCGATAATCAACTGCACATTTTCAATAGGATGTAAGGGTGTGGTTGTATGTATTGTGCTTATCTCTGATCTACACCCTCAAGCTACTACCAGTGCATCTACCTTCTATTTTTCCATATACACTTGAAACTGAACCTAAGTCATAAATGTAAAATTAACGATATATACGCTTCGATTTTACATTTGGAAAAGATTTTTCTGTGAAGAACGAAGTATCGATTGTTAAATAAACTATATCAAATATATGAGTAGTATTTATGTCTTGGTGTCTTTCAAAAATATAAAAACTTGTAGATGAAATTTTATCTTGGCATGGTTTTCACAAAAGATAATCATCAGAAATATTGCTGATCAATTATAAGACAATTACAGTTTTATATGAACAAAAAAACATATACCGTCAATGAAATAAAATGTAACAAGATATACTTTTTGTATGACTTGCTATTGTATTGATGTATAAGTTAATCATTCTGGAGATTTTATTGTTAGAAAAAATCGCCTCTACAGTTCGAAGTGATGTTACTACATTAGAAGGAACTATATGTTTGGTACCAAGCATCTTAAGATTTGGAAGAAGAGAGAAAGAGAAATTTTTCTATCATGTACGAAAAGTTTTGACTCATCCTGTAATGATCAATACTATAACTTACCAGATTCATCGAATGCTCGTCCGTTCACTTGACTAAAAAATGATACTTCCAATAACAGTATCACACAACAAAGCAGGAGCTTCGTTTGTATTCCAAATATATTCATGTGGAAATACTTCTTCAAAAAAATTATATCAAATGAATAATACAAGTCTTGGCATAGTATTATTCTATATATATATATATATGAGTGAATTGCAACTTTTTGGTACAATTGGTGCGAAAAAATGAAAGTGGTTCTAAGCAACTTTTGAGTAGTACATTTTGCTATACTATATGCCTGTATTATGCACAAAAAATTTCCCAACACTTTACCGCATATTAACTGAGATACGACTTACTCAATGTAAATGTACCATAAAAAGCGTTATTTTATTGAAAAACGTCACTCTACATTTTTCAGTATAATGTAAATTTCTCGAGAAGGGTACGAGATCCAAGGCTGAAATTTTTACCACTAATAGAACTTTTTGTTTTATACATTCTCTAAAAATTTGAGCTAAATCTGACGACCCGTTCACGAGTTATAAATAAGACAATTTTCAAAAACACCGTCACTCTACATTTTTTTCCAGTATAATGTAAATTTCTCGAGAAGGGTACGAGATCCAAGACTGAAATTTTTACCACTAATAGAACTTTTTGTTTTATATATTCTCTAAAAATTTCAACTAAATCTGACGACCCGTTCGAAAGTTATAAAGCAGACAATTTGCAAAAATCGTCACTCTACATAATTTTCGAAAAAAACGTCACTCTACATTTTTCAGTATAATGTAAATTTCTCTTGAACGGTAAGAGATCAAAGGCTGAAATTTTTACCACTAATAGAACTTTTTGTTTTACACATTCTCTAAAAATTTGAGCTAAATCGGACGACCCGTTCGAGAGTTATGAATCAGACAATTTTCAAATTGTCACTCTACAAAGTGAGTAAATATCTTTTTTTTTTCGAAAGTTCGTTTTTTTTTGTTTGAAATAAACTTGATAAGAGAGAACCTTTTTACATCAGTTTTATAGTTAAAGTGTTGGCTTTCTTTTTATATCATCCGCGCGCTGCCAGCTCTATCATAGGCTGAGCTAGAACTGTGTTTGTGTCACTCTACATAAAAACGAACAAGTGTCTGTTAAACAATGTGACCATTAGATGAACGAACCAGTGGAAATTCAAACTAAAACTAGTTACATATTTCGATAGAGCGTCAAAAACTGTACAAAATAGATTAATTATCTCCTTTTCCTCTTGCCTCTTTATTGTCGAAAAATTTCCTTTTCTTAGCATATGTCATGAAAAAATGACATTTTTTCATCATAAATTTTTTATAACTCAGCAATAACATGAGCTACTGAGCTGAAATTTTGCATGGCAGTGAGGTGTTCCAAGCACTATAACATATCAAAAAATCGTTGAAATCGGCTGGCGCAAACTGGAGTTATTAGCGAAATACATCAAAAATCTAATTGTACCAAAAAGTTGCAATTCACTCATATACAGATTATCTTGATATGCGATGAAAATATTTTCTATCTGAAGAAATCTTATATATCAACAACGTTAACTTTTTTATTTACTGTCATCGAAAAATAAGATCAAGTATAAATTATCTGATATGGATTTGTTGAAATATATATTAGACTGGAGATACATTATTATTGATGACACCAAATGTTTTTCTGTTCTGTCTTCACTATGTCGTCGGATCATTTTACCAATTAAATACTTTTTTCAGTGTATGATAAAAGCCTTGATTAATAATAATAATGTAGAAAAAGTCTCGTTCTATTTCTTGCACATAATACTTGGTCTGAGACTTTTGTTAGAAGTAGAGAATATCAATATATACTTGTGCAAACAATCGATCATAAGTCGAAAAATAACAATAGTTTTGACATGCACTTTTAAAATAATCAAAGAAATACAAAGTTCGTTTCGTGTTAATTATTTAATATTTTAAAAACTCATTAGAATTCTGCATTACAATAAAAAACTTGCGTAAGAAAAAGAAAAGAAATTTGAAATCTAATTTTCGCTATCATTATTTGTTTCTGATGTTTCATTATCCATCTTTGTTGAAGATATCGAACTATATAAATAATCTAATAATAATAATTGATTTTCTTCAGTTTGTCAGACATAGAATTAATGTATTTTGTTGATGTTTCATTATTATAAAGGAAAGATAATTTAAAAACTATATATTACTCAATAGACTAATTATAAAATATCAATTGCCATTAAGATCTTTATGATCCACATGTATAATTCCATCAGTTGAGGGTTTCAAAGATATATGTAATATCTATACCTTCGTTCTTACTCTGTAAAGAAGAAGTATTATATGTATTCTGAATAGAATTTTTGTTTTTATTTTATGAAACCAATTAAAAATATTTATATTATTGTGATACAAAAAGAATTTCATTCGTCTATATAATAATTTTACTTTCAATGCAGAAGATCATTTTTCACGTGTTACATGTCACAACAATATATCATTATCATTATTTCGTACAAATAAAAAATTTCTTTATTGACATAATTGAGTGCATTGTTAATTAACCAGATGAATAAATTCAATCAACACCTATTTTCGGTTCTTTAGGGTGTGGGTGGATGTGTGTAGGGAAAGGATTCACACCCTCAAAACAGAAAAGGTGTTGCCTTTCTTGATTTGAAGGAATTGAATTAAATATGATAAAACATTTATTAAATATTTATTTCAACTTCTATGAAAAATATAACAAATCTTTTTCAAACTTTTATTAAGAGAAATCAAATAAGAAAAAAATTTGTTTATCAATACTCTTTGAAATTTAGAATCAAATTTGAATTTTATATCATTTGAAAAGTTTTATTTTATTTGAATTTTTTCATACATTTTTCCTTCGAACTTTTTTTTTATTTTCATCTATACGAAAATCTTTTACAATATTTGCTTTGTTCAATAAAATTCATCTTGAATTCGATTTTTATTTTAGAGCTTTCATAAAAGATTCCTTTTCTTTTCATTTTCGAACAGCTTTCAAATTTTATCAAAGACAAAATCTTCTTCTCGTGTAATTTTTATTTAATTTAATTCAAAGTACAAAATATTTTCTTTTCTTATCTTCCGCAAATTTCAACAAAAGATAGAGAATTTAACATTTATTTCTTGGAGTTTTTTTAATCAAAACTATCAAATTAAATTCAATTTTAAAGAAAAAAATTCTAAAAGATTTTTCTTCAATCTTTTCTATCTAATTAAAAACGTTTTTTCTTTTTCTGAAAATCAAAATTTCATTCACAGAATTATTTCAAATTTTGCAATTCGATGATTATAATAGTCAGCAACATAAAGATTTTCATCATCATCAAAAGATAAATCACGGGGATAATACAACTGATTTGATTGATTTCCATCACCATTTCCACTAATAATAATTTCACCTTCTGTTTTTCCTTCGCACCAACGCATTATTCGATGATTCCCATAATCTGCCACATAGATTTGACCTAAATCATCAACAATTACTCCTTCAGGATAAGACAATTGATTGAGATTTCCTCCATAACCATTTCCTCCAGCCACAATTGTTCCTTCTTTTGCATCTTTTCTCCATTTCATCACCCGATGATTGTTATCATCTGATACATAAACAGATTGATCTTCATCAACAAAGATAAAATTAGGAAAACTGAGTTGATTGAGCTGATTTCCTTGTCCATTGCCACCTGCTACCACAATTCCTTCATTGTATTCACCCATTTTCCATCGTCTTACTTCATTCTTCTCACGATCAGAAACATAAAGAAATCCATCTTTATTCACTGCCAAGCCATAACAGCCAATATTCTCAATAAGAATTTGTTGATTTTGATTAAACCATTGAATCACTCGTCTATTCTCACGATCAGCAATGATGATCGAATGATTTTGTTGTTCAACAATCAAATTTTTTGGATGACTCAGTTGATCTATTCGATTTCCTTGCCCATTTCCACCAGCAATAATTTGTCCTTCTGTTGCATTATATGTCCACTCAACAATACGATGATTCGAACCATCAGCAATAAAAATATTTTTGTTTTTATCAACGAATATTCCTTCAGGCCCACTGAGTTGATTTAATTCTTCTCCTTGTCCATTTCCACCAGCCACAGTGATGGCATTTTGTTTCCACTTACTGAATTTTGATACTAGAAAATAATGAAAACAAAAGAGGGTGGATGTAGGTGTGAGTGATTCTTCTGATATACCCACACCGCAAAATTCCCAAAAATAGAACACAGTTGTTTTATGATGGAAATGATACTATTAGATACTGAGTACTTTTGTTCTGTTTTGGGAGTATTATTTCTGGGTGCTGAGTACTGTTACTCTGTTTTGGAAATATCACTTCCCATTCCATAACAGATTTGTTCTGTATTTAATTATTAATTTTTTTGCACGGTCATATAATTTTAAATGTCATTATGTAAAATATAGATGCGTAAGTGAGCTACAAATTTGGAATTTAGGTATGGAGCTTATTTTTTTGGACCCAAGAAATATGTGGGTTCCTATTTTTTCTTTTATAACAAAACTTTACCATTCTTTGTTGTTGTATGGAAATTTGTCGACGTTGTAAGCATTGTTGTTTCTGCTATCGACATTGTAGTTATTGCGGTTTTTGTTGTCGGCGTTGTTTCTGTTGTCAATGTTGTAAACATTGTTGTTTTTGTTGTCGACGTTGTAAGAATTGTTGTTTCTGTTGACGACGTTGTACGCATTTTTGTTGTTGTTGTCGACGTTATAAAAATTATTGTACCTGTTGTAGATGCATCAATTGTAGCTGTAGTTGTATTAACTGTTGTTTCGGCTTTTTTAATGAAAATAAACCATGTTGTAATACTAATGATAGTTATTAGGATAACAACAACAAGGTTAATTGAAAAACAAAAATGAATTTTTCTATGAGACAAAGATCTAAAATGATAGATATATTTCAAGTAAATAAACCAAATACTTACGATCTTGTTTGTGGACGCGTAGATTGTTTAATATTATTTTTATTCTCTGATTCCAACTAAATATTAAAAAAACTGCTCATTTCGAATTCTCTAAAAAGTATTAATTGTTCTCGTAACTAGCTATTGAATTTATTTAATTTGTTAATCTTTTCTCGAATAACAATAAAGAAAAATAAATCTCTTTCGAAAATATTTTATTTCGAGCATGAATATTTCATCTATTTTTAAAATTTCTTTTTTGCCGAATGGAGATAAGAATATGTTTAACAGTTTTTTTAATTCTGTGTGAAAATTCTCAGAAAAAGAACTGAAATAAACAAATAATGAGAGATTTGATTTTAATTATATATATTTATGTTTCTATAAATAAAAATTCAACTTGAATCAATCGTTTTTATGTAGAATATTTTAGTTTGAGATGACATTAAAAATAATGCAACGATTTATGACGGTTTTTTCTTATTAATCAGAATAAATTTATTGGAAAAAACAGTTTGTTAGTAAAAAGTATTAGTGAACGTACAATGTATTGGCATTGCTTAAATTTTGTTTTATGCAAAGGAAAAATATCTAATATTTATTTCTGTTTGTTGAGATAAGCTGTCTTTCGTTGTTCTTAACAGAAAAACATTCAAAAAGCTCTTCTTAGATATTCTGCACATTTGTCTTTCATACAATGAAAATAATTCTTTCAGATCTTTCTTTCTAAAATAGTTATTCCATTTCGTGACTTTTTCTGACAAAAACTCATGCACGTAAGAAATCTACTTTTCTGGCTGAAACTCAAATAAAACGAAACTAGATGTGCTGGCTTAACATTAGTATTAAACTAATTTTAATACAAAACTAGCACCATTAAACACAGCAATACTTACTTTGTGTTCTGATGATGCGTCATATGTAGTTGCTCGTTTTTCAGCCAACTCTATATCTTCTTCTTTGTTATTGTTAATAAGAAGTTTTTTATATTCCATGTTTTGGTAATTAGACTTAGTTAACTTCCCAAGCGTTGAATGTGATGATACTGTAGTTGTTACTTTTTTCGTGGTGATGTTGATTGGGGTTCTGAAAAGGTGAAATCAATTAAGAACGAATATTAGAAGTGCACTATTGACGAAAAAACGGTAATTATGTTATAGAAATTATGTGATAGAATTGCCTTTATCTGAATTTCTGAAAAGAATTTGCAGAAGAAAATATTCTGAAGTTATAATTATGAGACCCATTTATTATCATAGAGATCACATCCATTTTACTACGGAATTCTTTCCATCTAAGTCACAAATATGAATATACGCTTTTAAAAAATGTTTCATTTTGCACACTCAAAATTAAGAGTACCATTGATTTTAACTGTAAGTGCACTTAGAATTGAGAAGTCACTTAGAGCTTAACATTTCTTGTACAAAGAACATAAGTTTTAGGTAAGTAAATTCGAAATTCGAAAATATGTTTTCTTTCAAAACTGAATGTAGGTATGGCTGTTGGAAAAATACGGGTAATCGCATCCACCCTCAATTGCTGGGCCTATAGGAGATTGTCACACTTAATTGCCTTTTGACTAGTTTATCTAGGTATAAATAGAATCTTGATTTAGCAAGGAGCTCAAAATTTATGGAATATTTTACCAATTATTTCTTTGAAAGACCATTGGGGGTCATAATCCAAATAAAATCGAGTAATAAAATTTATATAATCCTCTCGAACATGGTTCAAATCTTCAATATTTTAAAACTTCTCCTCTGACTCTTATGAAATAATATCCATACCTTTGATTGTGTATTAGTATATCGTCTTTATTTTGAAAAAAAAATGTAAAGCTAAACGGTAACCATCTTTTTATTTTAACTTCGAAACTGGTATGTCTTATTTTTTTCCTACTTTATCACAGTTATCTATTGCATTTCATTTATAACAAAAAAGAAGAAGACCTTTTAATAATAGATAGGATGGATTACAATAAGACAATTTAAAAAGTTATCTTTTAACATGTAATATGACGCTGATCATGAAATGAGAAAAAAACAAAACTCAACAATAATTCGTCGAAATCTATCCTTATTCAGGGTAAACTAAACATACATATAACACTTGTTACATGATGTATAGTCGATTTCAACATATTCTAATTGTACTATGTAACAGAAAATAATAAGAAACTCGAGAAATATGGTTAATAGCACTCTTCGTGTTGATTCATTGATATTATTCTTATTATAGCAGCACATGGAACAGTATGCACTATCATCTTAACATCTAGTTTTGGTTGCCTTTAACTAATTTCAACCTTAAACTATCTTGAGGGTGTGTGTATGAATTAAAAGAAAATGAATACACTTACACCCACACCTTCAAGATGTATATTTGATTTTACGATCAAATGACAATATAGATTTTAAACAAAAATAAATAACAAAGGAGGTTATTGAACTTTTGTTGATTTTAACCGAGAAGACAACATTCATGTTTTTTATGCATCATTTTATATCGATAAAACAATCTTAGTAAAAACGTTGCTTACAGTTGCTATCTCGATTCTGTCATTTTTTAGCTGATATCATTCTTTTTCATTTTTTTTTCTTTCAACGAAGTAATTACAACATCGTGTGAAATCTATGATACAAAACAAATATTCACTTATTTTATGATAAAGAGAGAGAACAGTATATATAACTAACATATAAGGCTACGGAGCACACCTTTCTTCAACAATCTACAATGGCAAATCAAACAGCGACCAATTTCGTTACATTACCGGTAGAACTTGTCTACCGAATTCTGGATCAACAATCGGATCTTACAATACTGTGCTCCATGACAAACGTATGTCAACGGTTCAACAGCATTCTTGACAGCTACGATCGATACCAGGTAACCGTTTTTCTACTATGATGGCCTAATTTTTATTCATTAACTGTCGAATTATTTTTCATTCCTACAATCTCTATGCAAGTACAACATGACTTCAATAAAATATACGTGACCTTTCTCCACAAAAACTCACTTCTTATATTATAAGAATATGAAAAACCAGTTCTTTTTTTTCTTCCTATTCAATTTCATTTAAATATTCCACGTTTCAAGCAAGGTATGATGTTATAAACATAGTGTTTAGATAAGAATAAAAAAAAGAGATAAAAAATTATTATTTACGTTTTACCTGTATGCAAGCACCTCTTTTTTAAAAGTGTTATTTCGATAATAAAAATCAGCTTTTGACAGAAATTAACTTTCGACAAATACTTCTTCAAGAGCATGCATGACTGTGAATACAGGTAAAGGCGGATGTGGAGAAGATTGACTCACAACAATACCCAAGTTCTCATCCATACTATCAAGTTGAAATGTTTTTTCAAAGAATATTACTATTAAAGCAAATTGCTTCTCAGAATAATCGCTCTGAAATGAATTTCATCTGAAGCACTCTTTGTTAAGGATGATGAAATTTCGAGAATAATTTGTCAGCTCTATTTTCTTATATGACGGTTTACAGCATGCACTCGTCTTCTATTGATAATGAGTGTAGCATTATGAAAACGATTGTTTGACTTTTCATTTTTTTAAAATAACCTTCTTGCACGCACACAACCATATCGCAGTATCGAAAGCAACTATCGAAATCAATATAGCCTCGTTCGATAATTCAGACGGAGTTCTGTTGCAAAACACATATCGAGTCTGGACAATGAGTGTAAAGAAAACTGTTCACTAACTACTGATAATACGCACTAAACTGTTCACTGCAATATACTGTCGTTTGGATATATAATACTATTTTTCGCAATTGTTTTCTCCAGAAGTAGCTTAAAAACTACTTTTCATTAACCGAAGTATTTTTCCTTCTTTCCTGAACATTCATAAACTAAAGCAATACATAGAGATAAACTTCCTACTCCCAATTCAGCCTTAGTAGCTTATTTTTCGTCTAGATTCTTACAAAACACAATTGCATACGGTACAGGATAAAAAATCGTAAAAAAGTTCATACTTGTATCCATACGAGCAACACACCCGTTAGAACAACATTAACTTCACTGTTCTAACCGCATTTAATGCCAACCAACTATTCTGTTTCTTCATTTGTATCATGTCTTTACCGCCCCTTTTCATATAGACACTTACCACGCTCGATTTCACGTGGAAATCGATTAGAGATATTGAAGCACAACTTCTGTGTGACGCATTACAACGCAACACCGTAACTTTCATTCACTTTTTATTTATGTCATGTCTTTATATGAACTTTTCATATAGACACTCACTACACTGATCCTACAGAACAATAAAATCGGTGATCAAGGAGTCCAAGGTCTTGCCAATGCTCTACAAACCAATAAAGTAACAACAATACTTGTTCTTCTTCCTCTTCACTTCACTTCACTTCATCATTCACACAGACACTCACCATCCTCAACCTCAGATTCAATGAAATCAGTGATCAAGGAGCACAAGATCTTGCCAATGCTCTACAGACCAACAAAGTAACAAGAATACTTTTTCTTCTTCCTTTTCAACTCACATCACTCCCCTTCATCACTCACACACTTTTCGCACAGACACTTACCACACTGAACCTCGGTTGGAATAATATCCGTCCTAAAGGAGCACACGATCTTGCGAATGCTCTACAAATAAACACAGTAACAACAATATTTGTTCCTTTTCCTCTTCATTTCACTTCATCATTCACACACTTTCCACACAGACACTCACCACACTCAACATCGAAGGTAACGAAGTCGGTGTTAAAGGAGCACAGGAGATTGCCAATGCTCTGAAAATTAACAAGGTAACAACAATACTTCTTCATTTTTTTCTTCACCTCATTATTCACACACTTTTTACACAGACACTCACTATACTCAACCTCGGATCCAATAAAATCGGTGATCAAGAAGCACAAGATCTTGCCAATGCTCTACGAACCAACAAGGTAACAATAATTCTTGTCCTTCAGTGCACTTCATCATTCACACACTTCTCATACAGACACTCATCACACTCAACCTTGGATCCAATAAAATCGGTGATCAAGGAGCACAATCGTTAGCTGTTGCATTACAACACAACAGAGTAGCACTCACGCTTTCTTTATCTGTAGCATGTCTTTACTTCTACTTTTTCATCTAGACACTCACCACACTAAATCTCCAGCGCAATCATATTGGGGATTTTGGAGCACAATCTTTGGGTTATGCACTAATACACAACACAGTAGCTCTTATCCTCTCTTTAACTATGTCATGTCTTTACCACTATGTCGTCATCTAGACACTCATTACACTAGATCTCGGAAGAAATAGAATCGGAAATGTTGGAGCACAATCTTTTAGTAATGGTTTACAACACAATACAGTAGCTCTCGTTCTCTCTTTATCTGTATCATTTGTTTACCTATATTTCTTCATCTAGACACTTACCGAACTAAATCTCCAATATAATCACATCGGAGAACAAGGAGCACATTATTTAGGTGATGCATTACAACACAACACGGTGATTCTTATTCTCTCTTTGTCTACGCCATGTCTTTACCTCCACTCTTTCATCTAGACACTTATCACTCTAAATCTTTCAAACAATCTAATCGGAGCTGTTGGAGGACAGTATTTGACTGATGCATTGCAGCACAAAACAGTAACTCTCATTCTTTTGTTAGCGATAACATGACTTTACCTCAGCTTTGTGATCTAGACACTTACCAAACTAAACCTTCGGGCGAATTGGGGGTGGGTGTTGCGAGACAAGTAATTGGTGAATTACTCGAATGGGATGAAGATAAAGAAAATCGTACATGATAATATTAAATGTATTTAGTTGAGGAATAAATCACTGATGTGGACTATGCGAGTATTTTTTTGTGTTGTAATTTTGATACAAACAGACAATAAAACGGCTTGTCTTGAAGCTTAATCTATCTTGTGGTGATAATGTATGTTTAGTATTTTTCGTATTTGGTGATAGGGATAACCCTGCTATGGAAAAACAGAGCTTCCGCAGAGCTATTTTGTGAGTGTCCAGCGTGTGCATAACTAAGCTGAGATTCTGTATAACAATACGAAAATTTTGAAAGGTTCTTTTCAGTAATGCTGCAGCAAAGAATCGTGTCTGATGATTCTGAATCAGAAAATTTTCTCGAATTATGTGGGACTGTAAAATGTGTATAATGAATTAGTGCTGAACTCAAAAAGATTCTATAGTCAATACTGTTGGACGAAGTATGATGGTTTCAGGTTTACAGAATTTCTCAACACTGTATAGTGGAACGGCTGAATCGCCAAGAATCTGTCCAAAGAGAAAAAAAGTCAGTATGAAACTATCTTGTAACTACAAAAACTCTTTTATTGAACTGATATTGTATATGTTCAATAGTATTATTGCATTTCATTATATTATCTTTTTACTTGATCGGTTAGTATGATTTTAACATTAGATATGACTATATTTTTTTGCAAGTAAAAGAAAATGCATTTGTTATTCCTTGAATTTAACTATATAAATCTCCTACTTTGTAGCGTCGTTCTGCTTCTTTAGACAACTTTAGTTATTTGCCGATGGCTAATAATTAAATAAGACTTATAAGTGGTTAATATTACGTTCAATAATCATTACTTCTATTGGAAGACAGTATTCGTTGATAATAAACAAAGGCATTCAATGTTGCTGATACATGAAGTCTAAATACCCTAAGATTTCTTTTCTTTTGAGAAACAAATCTATGAAAACTTTAGAGGCAAACATGATGTGATATTAGTATGAATAATATATCACTATCATGAAATCTGGCCTCAATTCTATTTCTGACTCTTGGATTGTCAAGATACAAAAGTTATTTTCAAATCTCTTCTTATCAAAACTAAAAATTGAACTTGTATTCATCACAATTGTATATATATATAAGTGTTACAATGAATATTGTTCTTGTTTTCTACTGACAATTTACCAGATCGAGTATACCATTCAAGATGTTTTTCAAAATTAATCTCAACTGGTACTATACAACTCGATAACGTTTCACATAATCAAATCAAAAAAGTATTGGTGCGTTACGAAGTGCCATGAACTTTAGTATCCGAAGAATGTGAATTCAAGTGAGATGCGTGAACGCAGAGAATATAAACGACAGTAGAAGGATATGAGCGATCTCTCAGTTGATAGAGAAAATGTCTGTTCATGATGATATTCAGGAGTTTTAATTCGATCTTCATCAAGGACTACTTTGGAACGATTGATGAATTAGCAGTATTTTTTTCGAAGATGCTTAAAAAATGATTGTAGTTTCTACACAACAGGTAAATGATTCAAACAAAAATAGCTATACAATCACTGCATAATCATATCTATTAGTTAATGATATCACAAAGTATTTCTATTAATAAGAGGCTATAGTTATTGTTGAACAATATAAATAATCAATTAAACATATTACTTTGATATATCTATTCAAAAAAAAATGATCTCATAAATATTCTAATAGAGATACATCATTGATAGAAACTATAATTATTCTATGAGTTGTCGTTATATACTTGTAATTATCAAATGATTGCTATTATTACATCTCTATACAATATGTGGATTTTCTAAGAAAACAAATAATAACAAATTCTGTTTATTTTACATAGACAAAGTTTTAATTTTAGTCTTTGTTTCTCTCTCTGTATATATATGTATATGATGTCAATGGATGTTATATTCTATTTTTAGATGACATGGACTCAGAAGAACAAAGCAACTAAGAGATGTTGTATAAATCTAATGTTATTGTTGACATAATCTTTCTCATCAATCAGTTCTATCGATATAAAAATGGATGACATAGATGATAACAAGAAAATATGAGGTAAAATCTCTTTTTTCTTTTTCCTATCAAATGACAATTTGGAAAAAAAAGATCGAGATAAACAAATACTTAACATTTGATATAAATAAAAACAACATAATTTACTTTATAATCAATTGATTATTCTTTCTTTTGGATTTATATTGGAAGTTTTTATTGATAAAACTTATCTACCTTGACAAAAAGATTGTCTAAATAATTATTCTTGTTAGTCCTTCTCTGGTATAAGTACCATATGAGAATATTGAGTACTGCAAAAAACAGATCTTTTCTTTTATCGACAGAAAAAGAATACTAAGTAGAGATGAATGTTATTATTCAGTTAATGATGATGAGATTTCTAAGCAAGATAAAATCAAGAAAAAAAAAACTAATGTTGATTTTGATTTGTAATTATAAAAGGAAAAGAATTCACAAGATTGACAATTATCAATCATATCAGAAGAAACTTAACTACGACATGTATTTATGATAAATTAGAAAAAGAAAAGAGATTAACTGTAGAGATTGTTAAGAAAAATGATATATATCAATATTATTTATTTCCTTTTCGGACAAAATTAAGAGACAGAGAAAGAAATATATAAAATCGTTTATAAGATGAAGAGCAAGAGAGTAACATTGAAGGAAAAAACAAAAGATCTTTTTCTATCTTTTGACACACGCTAACAATAATAGTAGAAATAATAACGAACAGTTCTTTTGTTTATTCTATAGACAATACATTCATCATATTCTATTACAATATTACTATTTGAATATCAATGTTTCCATTTGGTCATTGCCTATATATGCCTTTATCATTACCAATACCAATTCCTTTTTATAATAATATATTTTTAAATCCTCATTCATTAAATTTATCTCCAATTACTAAATGTAAGTTTGTTTGATGAAAAAGAAAACAAAGGAAAATATTGAATATTTAGTTAATTCGAATATTGTTCAACAAACATTATCACATCGATTTAAACGTACACATAATGATATTCATAATATTCAACAAAAGAAACGATTTAGATATTCATTAACAACAACAACCAAAGATAATAATTTATCGAGATCATCAAAAAATGCAGTTATGTTATTATATGAAATAAAACCTTCGATTGAATATAAACTTGTTTGTCAAACAGGTCCATCTCATCGACCTATGTTTCGAATGACAGTTGAAGTAAATGGAGAACTATTTGAAGGTATAGCACAAACAAAAAGAGAAGCTAAACAAGCAGGTAAATAAATAATTAATATTAGTTCAATTTTTATTTTATTTGTGTTTTTATTTTAGCTGCTGAAAAAGCTCTTGAATCATTTTCATTATCTAATAATAATTTGTTAAATGTAAATGAAAATGTAACAGAATTAAATCTGATTGAGTCAAATGAAATGTGTTATTTAAAACAAATTAAACCAAATGTTGAATTTAAAGAAATAAAATGTGAAAAAAATGGATTTAAATTTGTGATTAGTTTTGATAATAAATATTTTATTGGTAAAGGAGAAAAGAAAGAAATAGCTAAAACACAAGTAATACAATTAGCTTTACAAAAATTATTTGGTATGTGGTTTTTTATGATAAGAAAAAAGATAAAATATATATGAATGTTCTACATAGAAATTTTTCTTTTTAAATTTATAGAAAATAATCCTTTTTCATTGAATCTTGTTTGTTGTGATTATAATTTTGGTGATTATATTGAAAAATGTATAGAAGAAAAGTTTCATGAATTAACTCAGAATGATTTTCGTCTTAAACGATATCGAGTTTTATCTGGAATTGTTCTTACACATAATTTAAATTTTCAATCAATGAAAATAATTTGTCTAACAACTGGTACAAAATCTGTTAATGAGAATAATAAACAATTAGTAAATGATTGTCATGCAGAAATGTTAGCACATCGCTGTTTAATTCGTTATTGTTATGAAGAATTAAATTTATTAATTAATCAAAATTCTAATGAATCAATATTTGAGAGAATAAATAATACGAATCGATTTCAATTAAAATCATCAGTTAGTTTTCATTTGTATATTTCTACAACTCCATGTGGTGATGCTCGACTTTTCTCATCAGATCAAATAAGATCAGTTGATTTGAAACATTCATTAATGAAATCTCGTGGATTATTGAGAACAAAAATTTCAGGAAATGAAGGTACAATTCCTGTTTTAGCTCAAACTATGTATTATAATATTCACACATTAGATGATGATGATAATAATAATAAACAATTGTTCATTATGTCTTGTTCAGATAAATTATGTAGATGGAATTTTATTGGTTTACAAGGTAAATTAGAGAAAATTTGATAATTTATTATTAATATTTAAATGCGATGTTTGTTTTTCTTCTGAAAATAAAAGGTGGATTATTAACTATATTAATAAATCCAATTTATTTGACTAGTATTATTATTGGAAATAGTTTATGTAATAATAATCATATTCATCAATCATTATTTGGTCGAATAGAACAAGTAAATAAGAAATAGATTGTATAATAATTAATAATCTAAATATATATGTTTAATGTAGAAACTAAATCATCTTTCAGCTCCTTATGGATTACGACGACCATTTATTTCAAGTATCAATAATAGAAAAGTACAAAATATGGGTCGAGCACCTATATGCTCATTGTTATGGAATTGTGTTGATAATAAATGTGAAATTATTAATAGTTCAACTGGATTAACAATTTTAAGTAAGATTTTATTTCAGGGTGTATTAATATAATTGTATATGAAAAATTGTAGATGAATCATCAACAGTATCAAAAGCAGTTTTATTTGAAAAATGGAAAAATTTGATGAATAAAATCCAAGGAAATATGATATCAATAAGTTATTCTGATGCTAAACAATTAGCTGTAGAATATCGAAAGACCAAAGAAGAAGTAGAATTAATTTTTTCTTTGAAAAGATCTAAAATATATTATTATTTGAATGTTTTATAGATTAATAAAGCATTTGAAAATAGTGGATTTGGTCGATGGGCTGCATTGATCAAATAAACTAATTTATTCTATGGATTGAGTAACTTAAAGGTAAAAAATTCTGTGATATACATCCAATGTATTATGTGATTTGATAGAATCCGTTAATTAGTATATATACTACTTAATGGATTATATCCATATTTGAGTGCATATAACCGATTGGTTATATGTGCAGGACCAGTTAGCTATGTGCACTCATGTGTTAATAGTCGATTGACTATGCATATTTATGCATACATGGCTATTATTTTTATATAATCATTTATATTCGTATGAGTATATGAAGCAATATAATGGTGTGACAGATGTATTCATATAATTTGTTTTTTTGTCATTTCTTTCCTATTTTAATGGTGTTGATTTGCTAACGATAAGTTGTCATTTATAAAACGTAGATTTTAAATTGCAACAAATAGCAGTCGTAGTTTAATAAATGAACAATTGTCATACATTGAGATCGTTTTTTCAGGTAACATGAGTTTTAAATTATTGTAATAGACATTTAAAAATAAAACAGTATAATTTTCCATTTCTGATCTAACTTGAAAGAATTTCAATATTTATTATATTTTAGAAAACTATGTCATTGACTTTAAAATCTCGTATAACATTAAATGATGGTCATTCAATGCCAATATTTGGTTTAGGATTGTATCAAGCAGAATCATCATCAAAAACAATTCAAATTATTACTGATGCAATCAAACTTGGTTATCCAATGATTGATACAGCTGAAATATATAAAAATGAATCTCAATTTGGTGAAGCTGTGAAGAAAGGTATCAAACGTGAAGAAATATTTCTTACAACAAAACTCTTTACTACTGAAGGTGGATGTGAAGGTTGTCAAAAATCATTTAAAAATTCACTTGAACAACTTGCTACAGATTATGTTGATTTATATCTTTTACATGCACCACAAGGTGGTCATGTGATTGAAGTTTATAAAGAAATAGTAAAATTACAAAAGGAAGGAAAAATTCGTTCAATTGGTGTATCAAATTTTGGTGTTGAACATTTAGAATGGTTAAAACAAGCTGGATTTGTTCCAGCTGTTAATCAAATTGAATTACATCCTTGGTGGCAAAATGAAGATATTGTTAATTATTGTCGAACAAATAATATTGCTATTGAAGGTTATTCACCATTAGGTAAATCACGTTTTCTTGATGATCCATATTTAATTAAAGTAAGTCAAAAATATAATAAAACACCTGCACAAATTCTTATTCGTTGGTCATTACAAAATGGTTTTATTACAATACCAAAAACAACATCAGGAATAGAACGACTTAAAGAAAATATGGATGTTTTTGATTTTAAATTATCGGATGAGGATATGAAAGATATAGCAGATTATGGTAAAAAAAATCCACAAAATACAGGATGGGAACCAACAAAGAATGGTAAAGATAAATTTGGACCAATTTAAATTTTAATCATTTGATATTGACTTTTTTTTCTTGTATTCAAACATTTATAATCTTTTACTAATCATGCTATATGTACTAAGGTCGTTTTAATATTACCAACAGTAGTGTATGAAGATTTTATTTTTTTCAGAATATATATCGTTATTAGCTTTCTCCATAACTTCTTATCGATCTATCACGCAGATGAAACAAGTGAAAGATATATTAATTGTAAATCGATACTGATTATAGGTATTTTTTGATAAGATTCAATACTGTGACGATTTCTGAGACGCACGTGTGATAGAAGAGCAAACTAATAATATTATTCTGTAGTACATATACAAGAAGAAAGTAAAACATGAATAATAAAGGATATTGCGATCATTTCACTTAAGGTAAGTAATGGATCATGAACTATTACAAATATATATTTCTAAACGATTCAAACTGAAATAGTCTTTTTCAATAAAAACAATTACAGTTATATTCCAAAACAAATAGAGTTTTCACAAGAGAATCTTCAACGGCGTTCAAAAGATAAAGTCTAAATTCCTTGAAAAGTTTTCTTTTAATCCATTTAGAATATATAATTATATTTTAACAACTTGACTCAAATCAGATTTAGCTTTCTATATATTATCAAATGTACTTTGCTTTTGCTTTTCGTTTTAATTATCTTGCTATATTGATCTCGTGTTTAAACGAGTATTTTTTGATGTTTCGTTGCTGAGATACTTGCAAAACGAAATCACAACTATGATGCGTAGGTCGAGAAAGTAACAAAAAAACAAAAGCGAAGGATTATATGAATGTTTTGCTTCGCATCGTATAAATAATCAACTGATAAGAAGTCAAACTTTGTTTATCTCGCAAGTATAACATTTGTGTTAAAAGGTATTCATGCATGAGATGTGTACTTGCGTTTTAAATATTTATAACATTCTGTATGTTTTTTTTGTTGCCCACCTTTTATTGTGGATTATAAACGTGTAACAAGTGAAGCATATCAGTTAGATATAAAGAGCATACGGTATTACAATACATTTCAAATCTTCGATAGTAAATGGCTTCAACATCGATTGTTAATTCATGGACAGAATGGGGACAATTGGAAATTATATGCGTAGGCACTGCTCAAGGAATGTGTTATCCAAATGACACTCCATCTTGTGCTTGGCATACTCCACCATCTAATCTATATCCCTATGTTGAATCGATTATTGGACCACGACCTCGCCGTCGTATTGAACAAGCACAACAACAATTAGATAATCTTTCGGATTTACTTCGAGCAGAATCAGTTAAAGTTTGTAATTCAGTTGATGAAGTATTACATGAAGATATTGGAGAAGTTCTTCCTCGAAAGCAAACATTTCCTTCAAATAGTTCATCAGCAACGGTGGATGGAATTACTATAAAAAAAGATAAAATCGATGTATATCGACCAGAAGACTTTACAAACGAACCATTGCGTTTTGATCATCAAATATCAGCACCACATTTCAAAAATCAATATCAATTTGGTCTTGCATGTCCACGAGATGTATTAATTACAATGGGTAACACTATCTTAGAATCACCAACTTCTGTTCATACACGATATTTTGAATCTGAATATTATAAACCACTTATTTACTCCTTGTGGAAACGAGATCCCTATATGAAATGGCTTCAACCTCCAAGACCAACATGTTCATCGACTCATATGTTTAATGATATTGATTATTGGAAAAAAGTTGAAATGAAAGAATGGAAAAAAAAAATATTTGTTGATAATGGTTATAAAACAAATTTAAATGAAAATGAAATTGCTTTTGATGCTGCTGATATTATGCGTATGGGAAAAGATATATTTTATAAAAAATCAGTAACAGCAAATAATCAAGGTTTTCATTGGCTTCGTCGAACATTTCCTGATCTTCGTTTTCATATGATGCATTTTCCAACTGATGGAAGTTGTCATATCGATTGTAATTTATTACCATTGAGACCTCCAACAGCTGGTTCTGAAGGTCTTGTTCTTCTTAATCAAGCATATCCACCATTAGCAAGTGAAATAAAAATATTTACTGATAATAACTGGCGTCCAGTAGTAGCACCTAAGAGTGCAAGTTCTGAAGTACCTCCACTAGCTTTATGTTCACAATATCTCAATACTAATATACTTTCTATCAATGATCATTGTGTAGTTATTGAAGAATGTGAAACAGCACTTTATAATTTATTACATGATGATCTTGGCTTTGATGTTATTACTTGTCCACTTCGAATACTCAATGAATTTGGTGGTAGTGTTCATTGTGGTATGAGTTTTATTATCATTTTTCATGTAATCTTTTTTATGTTTCGTTTATAGTTACATGGGATATACGACGAGATGACTCTTGTGTTGATTACTTTCCAAATCAAGATTATGAAGCTGAATGTAAACGTGATCTTGAGAATTATTCTGATCGAACACTAGCATCGACGCATGATAAGAAATAGTTATTTAAGTTTGACTCTACAAAATAACGCACAGAGATATGTTAATTGTTTGTTCAAATGTTTTGTATTTCAACGAAAATGTTTTTTGATCTGAGTGACATCTATTAAATTATAATATTTCTATTTCGGTTAAATATGATATAAAATTATTAATAATAAATTGTCTTCTTAGAACAAAAAGAAGTAGAAATAAAAAGCTGAGGTCGCTTTTTCTGGTAATATTCGGATTCGATTGGACGTTCTTTATTTAAAGAATTTTTTTCGTCTTCTTCTTTTATTACAGTTCAATTCATTCTTTTAAATTCATATACATACGTGCATACCACACAAGTATTTATGTTTATTTTCATTTGTTGTTTTTTTTCTTCTTCTTCTTTATTTATTAATTAAAGGCTACGAGTTACTTTTTTCTAAGAAATTCTTTCTTTTCCTTTTTAAGTTAAAAAAAGTAAAGAATTGAATGCACAGAACAACATAAAAAAGAGATAGGAAGAGTAATCAGTCTCACACGTATAGGTAATGAAGTATGCGAGAGTGTATGTATTGAATTGCCGATGTTTCGATCTTGTTTCTTTATATGTATGTTCGTTCGAAACACTTACAAAGTAAAGAGAAGCTCGCTGGCGTCGACGTCGAGAATGCGAATAGAAGAAATAAAAAAAAATAAGAAGAAAAGAAGAACATAGACAGACGTGAAGTGTTTTGTGTCTACATTATTAACTTGATCATATACCTCTTTTCTTCTTTCTATTTTTTTTACTTGACCAAATAACTTACCTTTTTTTACCTTTAACACATCTTGATTTTGTAGATTTATCAGTAGGTAAGAAATAGTTGGCACTTTAATCATTTTTTATGATTAATTCCAAGTACTTTTTTTTCCTCTAGTTAACACTTAATGAATATTCAAGTGTTTAATCGAATGTTTTTTCTATGTGTGTTTTTACAGTTCTGCGGATGTTTATATTGTGTTGTAAATGAGAAGTGGAGAAAAACAACGAACGTAATAGAGAAAAGTAAAGCTCTTACATGTACATATATGTACATCGAGTTATTTTTGGTTCAAGCAATCATTTATTCTTTTCTATTTGACTTGACCGAAAAAAAAATCGAGCGTGCATGTATTTGTAAAAGAGAGAAAAGAAATGAACGAGTGCGATGAAGAAGAAAAAAAAAATGAAGAGTAAATCACGAGTACCTTTGTCTCTTTCACACAAATATATACATACAGATGGATTATCTCTCGATAGTTTGTATAAAGCATCTGCTTACATTTTTTTTCTTTTCTTGTCTGTATTTTGTTTCGATACGAATCAATTTGTTTGCATTACTACTGATATTTACAGCATTCTTGAAAAAAAAATAACAAAAACGCGAAACTTCTTTATTTTATTCTGTGGCCTTTTTTATATCACATACAAATATGTTTTGCCTGACAAGTATGTGATAACAGATATCAGAGGTTCTATTTCTCGTCTAATGGGCTATGAGCATATTCTGACAGCTTCTTTTTTCTAATACGCATGTCGAATTCGATAAGACTAAACTACCATCCTACACATATCAACATATTCACGCGCACACTTTGTTCTTTCTGATTCGTCATCCCACCCCCGTCCGCCTCGTTCTTTATTCATAAATATGAATCATAAAAAAGAAATGTTAATAACGTTAAAATATAAAAAAAAAAGAAGAAACATGCCATTTTCTACTTGTTTTGCATAGTAAAGATAAAACATTTTTTCGCTGGTCTATATATTATCTGTTGTTATTCTGTTTTAATAACATTTTCAAAACATACATACAACATTAATTTTATAATATGGATAAGTAAGTGGAAAAGTTTTTTCTTTTTTTTTTCATATTTCATAACACTGAAGATCTGTCATCACAATGATGAGTGTGTGTCACAAGGTCTCAATTATTTATGATTATTGTATATATATATATATATATATGTATATATACATATGTCTGCAATAGTTCGAAAGATTATATAATCAAAGAAACGTATTTCTTTTTTTTTTCCTTTCCCTTCTCTCGCTGAACACATCGCGACCGGGGCATATATACACACACACACACGTACAATATTGCACCTCGTTTACTCATCGAATGAACTGTGTTTTTTGCCTCTATATATTGATGCGTCCAATCGATGAGAAATACATATATAACTATATATACCCACATCATTTTCTTTCGTTTTTTTCTTGTTTTAGATTTGAAGAAATGCCTACACCGGCAAATAATAAATCAGGTGGTGGTGGTAGTGGAGGTAGTGGTGGTGCAATGGATAATGGTCATGAACCAGCTGAAATGAAATATTTACGTTCAACAGATATGAATTCGAAAGATAGTATTACAGATGCAACAACAGCTAATGAATGGGCAGCTAAAAAATTTGTTTGGGTTCCTGATGAACATGAAGGTTTTGTTCGTGGTCAAGTACGACAAGAACAATTGGATGGACAATTATTAGTTGATTTAGAAAATGGCAAACGTGTTACCATACATAAAGATGATACACAACGTGTAAATCCACCAAAATTTAGTAAAATAGAAGATATGTCAGAATTAACTTGTTTAAATGATGCATCGGTATTATATAATTTAAAAGAACGTTATTATTCAGGATTGATTTATACATATTCGGGTTTATTTTGTGTTGTTGTCAATCCATATAAACGTTTACCAATTTATTCTGAAAATGTTATTGAAATGTATAAAGGAAAAAAACGTGAACAAATGCCACCACATATATTTGCTATTGCTGGTGATGCATATCGTTTAATGTTACAAAATCGTGAAGATCAATCAATATTATGCACGTAAGAGATTAGGCTTTTTTTTCTTCTTCATATTTGATTATTTTTGTTTTATCTTCATAGTGGTGAATCTGGTGCTGGTAAAACTGAGAATACAAAAAAAGTTATTCAATATTTGGCTTATATTGCTGCAGCACCAAAAAGTTCACAACGTCAACCGGGAAATACGGCTAATCAATATCAAGTAAGAATAAGCTTTTATTTTTCATCATTTATGAGTAGAATGTAGTATCCTATAACATATATTTATGGTAAATGAGTAATCATGTAAATAATAATATTATATGATCATACTTATATTAACAAATTGTCAATATCTTGAAAATAGTAATGGGAGGTTTTTGAAAGGGTAATTATGTTAATCCTTAGAAATAGATTTTTGCTAAATAAGATATCGTATTTAAAATAGAAAACTGATGTTTAAACAAAATCATGTGATATTATGTAACAGAGAGAAAATTCGTTCATTTTGAATCTAAACTAATCCCATCTCTGTTATATATGTACAAGATCACTTATAAAAAACGAAAATTTGAATTTTTACCATTGATTGATGTTATTTTATCTTTCGGAATGAAGAAAAATTTCAGATATGTTTTATGCATTCCTGATCTTTGATTATCTAATCTATTGTTTTTGTTATTTTAGCAACAAATAAATGCAAATAAACCAAGCGATGCATCCGTAAGAATTTATTAGAAAAAATTTACATTTCGAACAAATATTTTTACATATTTAGGGTGAGCTTGAATCTCAACTTCTCCAAGCAAATCCTATTCTTGAAGGTAAAAAAAATTTGAAAAATTTAAAAACAAAAATTCTATTTCCTTTTGTTTTCTTTTTCCAGCATTTGGTAATGCTAAAACAGTTAAAAATGATAATTCATCACGATTTGGTAAATTTATTCGTATTAATTTTGATACATCGGGTTTTATTGCTGGTGCATCTATTGAAACATATTTACTTGAAAAATCTCGTGCAATTCGTCAAGCAAAAGAAGAACGTACATTTCATATATTCTATCAATTATTACGTGGTGCTAATACAAAAATGATAACAGATTATTTATTAGAAGATTTTAGTCGTTATCGATATTTAACACATGGAAATGTGACAGTAGGTGGTGTTGATGATGCAGAAGAATTTCAAAATACAGTTAAAGCTATGCAAATAATGAATATGTCAAATGATGATTTAAATTCAATATTTCGTACAATATCCGCTGTTTTACAAATGGGTAATATACTATTTAAACAAGAACGTAATAGTGATCAAGCAACATTACCAGATGATACAGTTGCACAAAAAGTTTGCCATTTATTGGGTATACCAGTCACAGATTTTGTACGATCATTTTTAAAACCCAAACTTAAAGTTGGAAGAGATTTTGTTACAAAAGCACAAACACAAGCTCAAGTAAGTTAAAATCATCATCTATTTCCGATATCATAATCTAAATTGACGAGAAAATATGCATTAGTTTTAAAGTCTAAGAAAAATTTATAGATTAGTAATACTCAGATGTGAGTCATCGATCACAGTTGTGATTCATAAATTTGTCCATGACAGGTTCACTTAGATAACATCTAATCTTTCTTTAGGTTGATTATGCTGTTGAAGCTATATCGAAAGCTGTTTATGAACGTATGTTCAAATGGATCGTTATCCGTATTAATAAATCTCTTGATCGAAGTAAACGTCAAGGTTCATCTTTTATTGGTATACTTGATATAGCTGGTTTTGAAATCTTTCAATTGAATTCTTTTGAACAATTATGTATAAATTATACAAATGAAAAACTTCAACAGTTGTTTAATCATACAATGTTCGTTCTTGAACAAGAAGAATATCGACGAGAAAATATTGATTGGGAATTTATGGATTTTGGTCTTGATCTTCAACCAACTATTGATCTTATTGAAAAAGTAAAAAAAAAAACGATTTAATTTTATAAGAAATAACATCTCTCTCTCTCTCTCTTTTTTTAGCAAATGGGTATTTTGAGTTTATTAGATGAAGAATGTTGGTTTCCAAAAGCCACTGATCGAAGTTATGTTGATAAATTAATCAATGCACATGCTCAACATCCTAAATTTGGTAAGAATAAAATATAATTTTGTTTTTTGTTCTTAGAAGAAATTTATTTTTCTTTATAGGCAAACCAAATTATAA